CAATGGGTGGAAACTAACCAAAGAGAGAAGCAACCTAGAACTAAGGAGAAACTTCCTGACAGTTAGAACAATTAACCAGTGGAACAACCTGCCTCCAGAAGCGGTGAATGCTCCAACACTGGAAGTTTTTAAGAAGAAACTGGACAGCCATTTGTCCGAAATGGTATAGGGTTTCCTGCCTGAGCAGGAGGTTGGACTACATGACCTCCAAGGGCCCTTCCAACTTTATTATAATAATAATAATAATAATAATAATAATTATTATTATTATTATTATTATTATTGTTGTTGTTGTTGTTGTTGTTGTTGTTGTTGTTGTTGTTGTTGTGGGATGGGTTGTGAGATAATAACAGTCCAGAGAGAGCTAGGCTGAAGATGAACTTGAAACTGTCTTCCTGTCTTAGTGTAATAAATAACCATTGACTTTATAGTGAATAACCTTACAAAACGTTTTGGTATTGTTTTGTTTATTGTGATTGGACACAACTGTTCTTTTCATTAATAGCAACATATATTCTGTTTTTATATGCAGAATGAAGAACTTGGACAAAGAAAAGTATAATAGTTTCATATTTGAGAGATGTGAAAATGCCAGCAGGTGCAAACTTTAATGTTTTGATATATTTTGTACAATCTATAACAATTGTGTGTGTTTTTAGAAAACAATCCAAAACAAAACTATTTACTTTAAGTTTTCTTGCTTTAAAGAATATTATTTCTGGTGCAGACTTTTCTGACTTCCTTACTCTTTAATTTTCCTATTAAAGAGATCTTTCAATGTGTAATTCTCATGCTGTTCTTACATATTTCTGTTATTGCTGTAATTCTTTATTGTTTATTTTTTATATTTCTATATTTTACTGATATTGTGAACTGCCTAGAATTTTATACAGTTACTGTATGAGTAAAGCAGACATGTCCAACCCATGGCCTATGGACTGCATGCAGCCCTGGAAAGCTAGTAATGCGGCCCCACAAGATCGTAAATGTTTAACACTATTACTGTATGTGATTTATATATATCAACTATATTATATATTTTATGTATGGCCCAAGACAATTCCTCTTCTCTGAATGCAGCCCAGGCAAGCCAAAAGGTTGGATACCCATGATATAAAGATGTTAATGGTGGCCCATAAGACATATGTAACACTTATGTATTCAGATACTCTGAAGCCATCTGTTAATTATCTGTTCCTTTTTGCAATAAGGCCTGCTATATTTCTTTGTTTTTTACAATTCTGTGCATGGAATTGTTCATTCTAAGTTTCTTTTATATATTATTTGGAAATGTGATAGTCTGTCTTATCTAATAAACCAAGTTATCAAATTGTATTTTAAACTTCCCAGTTGAGAGCGAAGCCAAGGCAAAAACAAAGGTTCGTTTTGAAGAAATATTCAAGAATCATTCTGGTCTAATTGATAAAAAGAAAATTAAAAAAAAACAGATAAGCATCCCAGAGAATATTGTGGTGAGTTGGATATACTTATGAATAAATGTTTGTTGCTTCAGAAAAGTAAAGCATAATCTTTCCAAATTCACTTTCATAAATAGTGTCAGGGAGTTTTGATTGGTCTTTGCAGGGTCAATACATTTTGAAGGACATGGATTGATGAAGCTTTATAGCAGGGATGTCAAACTGCCAGCCCATGGGCCGGACGCGTCACGCAGAAGCCGCGCCCACCCCATTGCTGGCAATGGCAAAACCGTCCCGATACGTTGCTTGATGTCACGTGATGTCGTGAGTTTGACATGTCTGCTTTATAGATTCATACCTTCACCCTATATTATTTGCTCCATTTTAGAGTAAAAAAAAACATAACTTGAAAATATACTTTGAGATTTAAAACTTGTTTCTATAGGGCTATTAAAGTGGGATGACATGATTCTGCTTTATCCTTTTCCTTGCACCACAAGTTTGAAAGTTATGATTGGCCTCCAGGAAAAGTTGCCTGGTAGGGAGAAGTTGTGTTTCAAAGAGACATTTTCAGACTAAATGAACACAATATGCAATCTTTGTTAATATCCCTTCATCTATGGTTATGATTTTTGTATCCTGAAAATATGCTCTGAAGGTTAAGGATCTCTGCACATGGTAGGGTACAGGATGAGGGCAGCAGAATGGAATAGGAAGAAAAACCAAGGGGAATGTGGCTTTTAATCCAGGGAAATTATTGCAGTATCTGGAATGGCCAATGTATGGTCCAAAGGAGAAATTCAGCAAAATTCTCCTTAAAGTTTGACCTCAGAATGGTATGTTTTGCATATTCCTTAATTTATTTCCTTGTCTGATTTGGCATGCTTGTGATCAAAAATATCCTTTAAAATGTGCATTTTTAGGGATTACAAATACATAAATTCAAAGAGAATTTGATTTATTTTTATTTTTTTGCTGGCAGAATAAGTTTAGGAAACTTTCAGAACATATTTTTCAGCAAATCTGATTTTAGTCCTCTTTTCTTCATAATCCTTTCATTACTTTGTCTCTCAAAAATGTGTATTTCTTGCAATCCTGATTCAGTATTTTATTATTTTTCCATTGTGCTTTTTTTGGTACAGATTTGAGAAACTTTTGTGCATATTTATGCTGGACATTGTCCTGAAATTTGGTCTAATATAGAATTGAATGAAAGTATTCTAAATAAACAATGCAGGCACTAAAAGTCCACAGGATTTTCCTGAACAATTACCACTAATAATGATAATTCTAAATGAAACATGTTTTTTATTATCTAAATAAAGTGAAGTCTTGGAATAAGTATACATGTATTCCAAAGAATAATTATACACAACCAGTCTCCAGTGGCCTTAAGAAGAGAATGACAAGATTTCTTTTGAGAGAAAAATGAATTGGGAGCGAGATTAAGAAATGAAGGTTATAGTTAATACAGAAAACATCAGAAGGTGATTAGGAAAGGAATAGAAAATTAGTTTAGACAAAATAAATCAGAATTTTTACAGAATTCAAATAGAGGATGTACATATTTATAAATAAGTTTTAATTATTTCCAAAAGTTATAATCAGAAATTGAATTTCGTTGCTCAGTCTTCTGACAAAATATATCTAATATAAAGAAATGCATATGACTCTGTGTATTGTAATTTCAGATTACCAGATTGCAGTGTGGATATATCCCTTTTAAAAAGTTTGAAAATCAAATGTTTAAACTATCTTGATTATTATAAGCATTTTTTGTTAAATATTATTTCAGTTACTAGGTCCGTGGTCAGTAAATTATACCTTTTCCACAAGTAATATTTATGTTAAGTATAAGCGTAGCATGTTCTTTTCATTATACTTGAATGTATGTTTTTCAGCATGGCATGCTGACAGAGCAATTTTGCAGGGGCTTTTTCTTATAAGAGTTACATTTAAAAAAACTTGCTCAAACCTATAATCTTTTCATGCTTTATATGAATTCCATCTGTTGGTTGACTCTTGAAGTGCAAGTAAATTTTAATTGTTCCCCTTCAAACACTAAAAGTGAAATATTAATAAAACATAGTACTTATTCTTATAATAATTGCATAATAGCATACAGATAAAATGACTTCCCAGTGTTTTGATTACAGCTGGAGACATTAAAAAATCATCTGACCAAAGGAAGTGAAAATGAGCCAATTATAAACCAAACGTATAACCCCGAGGAAAGTAGTCCGCGGATCCCAAAACGTACGTTGAGAGATAAAGCATCCATTGAAGAAGAAACAAACAATGTTGTTAGCAAAGGGGAAAGCAAGCAAGTTGGGCTTCAGAAGAAGAAAAAGGCAGCCCTACAGAAACAACTTAATGAGGAAGAAAAGGTATCTGAAACCAAGTTAGATAGTTCTGAAAAGCAGATTCAAGTTTTTACAAAGAAAAAAACAGGAAGCGTATTGCAGGCAGATGCAGTTCACTGGGAAGGGGACAGCAACGTGAAAGGTGCCTTGAGTGGACTGCGAGACAGATCTGGATTAGATGAGGAAGAAGAACAGTTAATTCAAGCCTATGAACAGCAAGTGGCTGAGGAAGAAGCAAGTGCAATTAAGAAAAAAATAAAAAAGAAACTGAAAGAACAGATGTCTGAATTCATTCCCAGCGCTCAAAGCCACGAAACAATGTTGAACAGTGAAGTGAGAAAAAAGAAGAAAAAGAAAAAAGAAGTACTGGTTTCCTCTGAATCTCAAACTAGGTATAATAGTAAGTGATAAATGTGTGTGGATGGAAGATTTGTGACAGCTGTTTGGGTTGCATTATTGTTGACATCAGAAATAATTCCATATGGTTTTGTAAAGAAAATATAATGACTCTGTCATATTGGGGGGGGGGGAGACATTCAGTGAACCACTTTTGTTTCCTTACAAAACTATACCGTGGTTTGTAAAGAGGAAATGACAGAATAGGTAGTTGGAATTGGATTGGATAAGAGCCTGCCCTAAGTCATGACAGTTGTAAGGTAGGTCACCCACGTGACAGACCTGCTTTTTCAACCTTTCTTGTGATGGTCATTAAGCGAATGTGGCAGTCATTGTTCACTGTGGAATGTTTTTGCTGAAAACTGGAAGTAATTTTTGGCAAAATGTAAAATGTGGTTACAGGGCCATGTGACACTGCAAACAGCCATAAATGCAGGCCTGTTGCCAAGCTCTTCAAATGCAGTCATGTGACTTTAGGGAGAGGCAGCCATTAGACCTTTAGGGTTTTATGTACCTTTGGGGAAGTCTGTTGTAATTTTGAACGATTACTAAGCGACTGATCATAGGTTGAGGACTACCTGTAGCAACGAAGAATGAAACCATACCTTCCTTGTCACGTTGCTTAGACTTTTAGCCATGCCATCCCTCATTTTGTGCTTCACCATGATTCCGCGCTTATCCTACCCCAGATCCAGCTTGATAGGATGAGATTTTCAATAAACGTTTCCCGAACAAACTGTGGGGTGAGATGTCTCAGATAAATCCATTCAAGCCAGCCTGAATGTGTATGTTGTTTGCCTATGTTACAGAATGTAATTATTAAACCACTAAATCTGGTAGTATATTTCAAATCCTAAATATCCTTGTTAACCACATGACTTCTTTCATTCAGTGCAATGTCCCTCTCTGAATTGCAACATGAGCCAGAGGAAGAAAATACCAAGAAAAAGAGATCTTTGGAAAAGCCATTTGTATCCAAATTTGAAGAAGGTGACCTGTTAATAGAGCAGGAAACTAAAGGCAAAAAAGCAAAAAGAAAATCCCCAAAAGGTTTGTGTGACTAGAAATAGAATCCTTTAAATGTTTTCTAACCGAAGTAATTCTCAGTTAAGAGGCCTGTAGTGTGTATTGGTTGCCCAAATCGCGCCGTCTTTGTGGCCTAAAGATCAGAACAGTAATCCACTGGTTTTGTATTAGCAAGATTGAGATAATGGCTCCTGTTTGTAGTTGAGAAGATCTGGCTATTTTCACAAGCATTGGGCCAGTATGTTATATATGCCCACTGTTGAGTTGTGTTTGTAAATAGTGGTGCTGGTAGAGCTGTTTTAATAATATCAGACATAATAAAGAGAGCCAGTTTGGTCTAGTGGTTAAGGCAGGGGTGTCAAATTGCCAGTCCACGGGACGGATGCATCATGAGGAAACCGCGCCCACCTCATTGCTGGCAATGTGGAAAAAGTTCTGATATATCTCGCGATATCACATGACATCGCAAGTTTGACTTGTCTGGGTTAAGGCATCAGGCTAGAAAACCGGAGATGATGAGTTCAAGTCCCACCTTAACTAGCTGGGTAATCTTGAGCCATTGACTCACTCTCAGCCCAGCTCACCTCACAGGGTTATTGTGGGGAAATTAGTAGGCGGAAAGTATGTTGGATATGTTCGCTGTCTTGAGTTATTTGCAAAAATAAGGTAGAAAATAAATAAATAAATACTGGCTAGAGTTGCCTCGAAGTGTGAGATAGGTGGCACAGAACTTTACTTAATTCCTTATTGTGGGGTTTTAGAGGGTGAAATGTGTGTGTTTAAGTCTTGAGAGACTTAAGACATCCACTTTACAATTTAAAACCTAAATGTACCTAGTCATGTCTAGTTGGGGTTGCCAGTTTTATTCCTGCCTCTTCATGAAGTCACTAAGATTTCTGACAGTTCCTAGGCAGAAGTACTTTCTATGTTAAAGTGTTCATGCTATTGAATCATTCAGAGCAGCTGTTACGCATGGAAATCATGTCTGACTCATAATAAATAAGTTAACTGAAAATTCATTTAAGACAAATTTTTAAATTGTAGGTTTACTGGTAATTGCAGCAATAAACTTAACAGTAGTTCTCAATTTTTACTAAAGCCTATTTTTTCTTTCTCCTAGCTCCAGAAGAAGATACTGAAAACATGAAAGAAAATACCTTACACATGACTGCTGGGAATCTTTCACAAGAATCAAAACCTGATTTTGATGATAACCTTGTTTTAGGGGTTTATATCCATCGAACTGATCGACTTAAAACTGATTTTATGGTATCCCATCCAATGGTTAAGGTTCATGTGATCGATGTGAAAACTGGTTTATATGTGAAGAAAGAGAATAGGTAATTTTACTGACTTACTGAAGATTTTTTTTATTCTTGGTGTTAATTAATTTGTCCATAAGAAGCTTAGATAAACATATAGTTTTTGTAGATCCACATAGATATAAATAACCCAATTAAATGAGGTTCATTCAATGTGTTGAAACAAAAATGTGTCAAATAAAAATGTAGCTTATTTAATATTCCTTAATTATTTCTGCACCATAATAATTCTCATTTATTTGAGATTCCTATGCTGTAGCAGGTTTAGATGGAGCCAGTATTTGGATTTTGGATTGCAATTTGAGATGTTTTAAGAATTTATCATTCTTTTGTAATTTCAAATAATAATTCTCATTGCCAGTTGAATTTAATGCAAATACTGTTTGTATGTTTGTTGGATGGTCAGATAACAATAGATGTAATGAACATTCATTTCAAATAGGACAGCTTGTAAAATATGCCCAGTTTCTCTCCAGGATAATAATCTTGGGATTTTCCAGAAAGATCATATTAAGAGTTTTGATGATAAGGTCAAGAATGCACCATAGCTGGAGTCAGTATTATATCTAATCTACACTATTTAAAAAGAGGAAAATAAAGAAATTGCTTATTCCTTAATCTGTAATATTTGCTACTATCTTATGCACACTCTACAGGGAACAGGCTCCATTGAACTTTTGACAATTTTAGCCTGCTTGATATGAAGTACTTTCCATTGCAGTATGCCTACAATGTTTTAACATCTCTGTAAGAATTGGTTTTAAGTGATAACAAATAAATGAAGATATTCAAGCTTCTTCTAATTTTGTTCCTCTTAAGGTTATCCTTCTGTGATGTTCTGTAACATTAGACCTGCACCAAACACACGTTAATTCACTTTTTTGTATTTCATTGTGGTTTGGACTTTGCTTAGAATAATCTGAATAAGTTCACTATATTTTGATTTGCTCATAAAGCTGATACTCAATGTTATTTGTTTGTTTTTGGTTTAGCCCAGTATTTGAACCAATCCAAAGGAAGAATCCAAGGACACCCCAAAGACAAACAAATCTCATTATGCCTTGAAGTGGGTCGTTTAAGCTGGTTGATAGTTGGATGTTGAACACATTTTCTATTAAATTAAAGCTACTTACTCTGTAGACAATTATAATAAAAACAAGACACAATTCAGTTGAATGTATTGTTTTTATGTAGCAGTCGACAAGTTTCATCCTTCTATGAACAAGAGAAAGTGGGGCATATTCTTCCTATTATGACCCAGCCTTACGATTTCAGACAGTTTAAATCAACACTACCAGAATGGGAGGAACAAATACTATTCAATGAACGTTTTAACTATTTTCTCCAAGATGCTGAAGGGAGCCCCAAAGTAATTCTGTTTTTTGAGGTACAGAATGACTCATTGGTCATTTCCATTTTATCTTCTGTTCCTTCTGGCAAATACTTTCTCTATCTTTCCTCTTAGGGGTAAAATGCATAATTTCAGTACTGGATTGTCTAGGAATGATGCACTTTTGGTGGTGGAAGCAGGATAAGAACATTTTCATTTTAAAAATTTTGGTCAGTTTGTGAAATTTAAAGATGTGCTTAGGCCATTTTGAAACATCAGAGAGTTACAATATTTCACTTTCAGGTCTCCTAATAACCCAATTAGCTGTTTTACTGCTTTACTGAATACTTGGCTGCTAGGGAGGGAGACACATTTAGAATCAAAGCAAAAGGAGTGTCATCTGGGAAGTTTCTTTGATCCATAATAATAGTTTACATCTAGTTTGCATATACGCTTTTAAAAGCATTTTCTTTTGGTGAAGCTCACATCCACTGTTTTTATAGCATCCTGAGTGAGATCTGAAATTCATCAAATACAGCAAGGCTTTAGATTGCTGTCCCCTATATATCTCAGCTGTTTATTATATTTGCCACAAGAAATCTTCATCATAGAAACTAATATGTACAAAGGGTTTAAGAAAAATCCAGCAAAATGAACTGATATTTTCTATTATTGTAATTACAGAAATGTAAACTGAATAAAATGTGTTTTCTACTTCCAGATCCTTGATTTTTTGAGCATGAATGACGCAAAGGCCAATTTTGATATTCAAGCTCAGGAAAGCGGCTTTCGGAAAATCTGTTGGGCATTTCTAAAGGTTTTTATTTTTTATTTTAATGGAAACATTGTACTGAAGCATTAAACAAGTCTGCGCAAAGATAAACAAAAAATTGCTTTGCGTATAGTCAAAGAATAAACTTTGTATATAGACAGAAGATTAGTCAAGGTATAGTTCAACTAGTTCACATTTCAATTTCAGTTTGCAAAATATAGCAGATCATATATCCATCCAGCCCCATTATTGAAGAGTTGGATGGAGCGTGTCCGCAATTATTTCTGTTTGGATTTCTGATGAAATACGTGGTACCTATTTATGCTTGCTTTCCTGGATTTATTCTGGGACCGTTTAATGAAACACAAAGCCAGTTTGTTTCTGAGTCAGTAGTGATGACAGCAATACAAGTTGCAAAATCACCAGACTAATCAGAAAGTATTGCCAACTGTGTCTTGGCTGTGTGATGTCATTGTGAGCCCCAGGGGACATAACGGTAACTAAACAGATGACCTGTTTGTGTCAATATGTGGATTGTCTTTTCTGATAGGAAACCTGTGGTTCATTGTTACTTCAATTATTAAACTACTGTTAATTGTTATTGCTTCAATTTATTAATACCTAGAACAGACATGTCAAACACAAGGCCCGGGGGGGCCGGATGTGGCCCGCGAATTGGTTTCATGTGGCCCGCGAAGCCATCCTGGAAACAGTGAGGGAACGGCCCCCGCTGCCTTGGCCCTGGCCCAGGCCAGCTGGGAGCCAATGTACAATTTTGTGGTGGCCATCTTGGCACTTGCCCCAGTGGACCATGCCTTGGCACTTGCCCCGGTGGACCATGCTTGGCACTTGCCCCGGTCCCACCCCCTTCTGCCAGAGACTCTCAGATCTGTCCCACTCCTGCCCAGGCCTCCTCAGGCACCCTTGACGCGAATGATGTAGAACTGGCCACGCCCACCCAGTAGGCCACACCCACTCCATCCACACCCACCCAGTAGGCTGCACCCAATCTGGCCATACCCACCCAGCCCCCCGAGGGCAACCGCAATGCTGATGCGGCCCTCAGTGAAATTGAGTTTGACACCCCTGACCTAGAAGCTCAAAAGAGCTTGGGGAGGGCTTATGTCATCCTCACAATAATCCTATGAGGTAGATTGGCTTGAAAGAGAATAGCCTTAATACCACCTAATGAGTTTTCATGGTTAGGGTGGGATGATTCCAGGTCTCCCCGGTCCTAGCTGCAACACCACATTTGTTGTGCATGGTTTTAGAGTGCTGTTATTTGTCCTTTCATTAATAAAATACCTCATTGTAATGTATGTTTTTTACCCATCTTAATTATTTTGTCATTTTCAGCTTGTTGGTGCAAATAGAGTTCTGAACATTGGTGGAAAAGTACGTCTTCAGTTGTACTCGCCTCCTCGAAGGACCAGGTCACAACTGCATGTTGTGGAAGTTTACGACTGGTGGGCAAAATGTCCTAGAAACAATTATCCTTCAACATTGTATGTGACTGTAAAAGGCATTAAACTTCCCGATCATGTATGTTAACTTAAGTGTCTTTAAAATGCGTGACCATGACAAAATAACGTCTTTCTTTGTTCCTTCCTGGCCTTTTTATTACTAGCCGCAAAGAGAAAAATATTTTCACTTGTGTTAAATTCTGAAGTGTCTCTTGTGTGTGTGTGTGTGTGTGTGTGTGTATGTGTACATTCATTCGTTCATTCATTCATATAGGTAGTCCCTCGAGTTACAACCACAATTTATGTTGCTAAGTGAGAAATTTGTTAAGTGAGTTTTGCCCCATTTTATGGCTTTTCTTGCCACATTTCTTAAGGGAATCACTGAAGATGTTAAATTAGTAAGTTAGTTAAGTGAATCTGGTTTCCCCATTGATTTTGCTTGTCAGAAGGCTGGAAAAGGGGGATTGTGTGATCCCGGGACACTGCAACTGTCATAAATATGAGTCAGTTATCCATCATCCAAATGTAAATCACATGACCACGGGCAGGCTGCAACAGTCATAAGTGTGAACAATGGTCATAAGTCACTTTTTTCGGTGCTGTTGTAACTTCGAATGGTCTCTAAGCAAACTGTTGCACTACCTGGGAAGTTTTCCTCTTTTTTTTTTTTTTTTTTTAAAGAAGACCGCTAAAGCTGAGACTGTATTGGTCAGATTTTGCTTTAGTGAAGTTGATTAACGGTAATTTTACTGCTATCATGTAGCTAGTGATTTAAAGGCTGTAGGTTTAGAAAGCAGCCTCTCTGTCTTATCTTATAGTACTCAGAGAGATTATCCTTAGTGATTTGTCTCATTGGGTATTCATACTAACACTTATTTCTGCCTAGAAAGATGCCTTATGCTTCCATGGAAACAGTTATTACTGTAGCACAATCCGACCTTAATACATGAGCTTGCAGGTTTCAGAATTTACTACGCTTTTGACATGCCACGCTAGCAGTATAAATTGGTTCAGTTGATGACTTCATGACATCACGTAGCAGCTGTAGGTGTTAATGAATAAAATCTGTATCCCTGATGAATACAGGTAGTGTCTTGACTTAGGACCGCAATTGAGCCCCAAATTTCTGTTGTTAAGTGAGACATTTCTTTAAGTGAGTTTTTCCCTGTTTTACGACCTTCCTTGCTACAGTGTGTAAGTGAATCGCTACAGTTGTTAAGTTAGCAACACGGTTGTTAAGTGAATCTGGCTTCCTCGTTGACTTTGCTCGTCAGAAGGTTGCAAAAGGAGATCTCGTGACCTTGGGACACAGCAGCGGTCATAAATATGAGCCAAGCTTCTGAATTTTGATCACGTGACCATGGGGATGCTGCAATGGTCGTAACTGTGAAAAATGGTCATAAATCACTTTTTTCAGCACCGTTGTAATTTTAAACAGTTGCTAAATGAACTGTTGTAAGTCAAGGGCTACCTGTAGTAATCTGATGAAAGGCATTTGCAAATGAACATAATCACATGCTTAATACGATATTTTAAGGGTGGAGAAATCAAGTGATATATGCACGTGTTAACTAACCCTGGATGAACTTGCAGTTGGATCTACTTAAATGAAATTACTTTTAATATGAATATTCTAATGTGCCCTCCTCTGCTTTAAACGGTCCATTACATTTTCTTGATATTTTTCATATTTTATATTTTTTGTTTTACATTACTATATACATATTTCTATAAAATTTGTATTAAAATCAAATTGTTTTCATATATTTTTTTTCTAGGTAAACCCTTCTTTGCGATCTATGATGGCTATTCAGCAAGAATATCATAGCACATCATTCTTGGATCTACAAAATGATACATCCAAAACAATACTGAATTCTGGAAGTCAAGTGAAAAAGGAAGAACCATTTAAGTGGTCAAAATTTCCTGGACAGGTAAAAACATTTTCAGATGATTTTTATACACTTTGATATGAGCCTTTTTAAAAAAAAAAATCAAACTATTGTTACAATCTTACTTTAATGAACTTTGTAAAAACAGGAGGGACTTGAAGTTTCTTTTCCAGCTTTTATTTCAGAAATGTCTAGTGCTATTTATGACTAGGTGAATTGCAGATTTTTTTTTGCAGAAAAATACAACACCTGTATTATTAAAATACGAATAGTGGAGAAAGTTAACTTAGTAAATTTAAGAAAGTAGACTGCTACTTAGAACACTAATGATAGCTTGAGTAGCTTGTTTCTTTGGACGTGCTGAATTGCTATTTCATCCCCAGAATTCTGCTTGGAAATTGAAAGAAAAGCTTTAAGCCTATGTACATTTTCCTCCTTTTGGTGTAGAGAAAAAAAAGATGAAATGCTATTGTAAAATGTAGTTATTGCAAGATTCATACTGGCATGTCAGTCATCCCAAATTTTAAAATGTGTTTGTTCAGGGCCAAAGTTGATGTGCTGATAAATGACTGACCTTTTTTCTAAGGAAAAAAAACCCCCTATTATTTCCCAAACTCTAATGTACTCCAGATCTGGATGCAATTTTCTGGAAGCAACATTTATAGAGAAAGGCAGTATAAGTAAAAATAAATGATACTGGATCCCATTCAAAAACATATTCTAAGTTAAGATGACCTAGTGGCTTTTTCTTTGTAAATTAAAATACATGTAGTGTGATATATAATTTGGTCTCTCATAAGAAAAATTCACCAGAGCAGAGGGAAGTGGGAGAGAAGCACTGCTTTAGAGATTAAGTGCCAAATTTGAGGTGTCCCAAAGGTGTTTTTTCAGTCACCTCTTGAAAAAGCTCCTTTGGGACAACCACGACCTGGATGACTGAGAATCTCCATAGAAATATTAGGTGTGTTCCTGATTTTTTATATATATCTAATTTCACTGCCTGCAATTTTTCATTACCTTTTTTGCCTACCCCTTATATGACCCTTGTTTAGGTAAACAAATCATGATGACATAGCTTCTGTTCCTCCGAAGTTTGTGTCATAAACAATTTGTTATATGAATATGAAATTTTTCCATATATATATATATATATATATATATATATATATATATATATATATATATACACACACACACACACACATACATACAGTACATACACATATGTATATATATATACATACTGTATACACACATACATACAGTGCATACATACTGCAAATGTAGAGTATGTATGTATATATATATACCTACACACACACAAATAATATTGTATTTAAACAAGCTTACAAACTGCAAATGTAGAGTATGTATGTATATATATATACCTACACACACACAAATAATATTGTATTTAAACAAGCTTACAAATAATGTTTCACTTTGGATCTACAGGTGTGTCGATTGCCAAACAAGTACCTTTTTTCCTTAAAAACAGGAGACATGGGATGTTTCTGTATTCGTTTCTCTGAAGATGGACGAACATTAGCAGCAGGTTGTGCAGGAAGAGATGGTTATCCTGTTGTTTGTAAGTGAGAGTTTCAAGGCCTATTTTTATTTTAACACACCATCTATGTATGCAGTGAACTGTTTGGAAGGGAATTTTTAATCGGTGAAAGTTGATTGATTATTCAAATTTAAGATATAACCAAATGCTAAAGGGTACTTTTTAATCTTTTCTCCTAGCATGACAGTTTTTTTTTTAATTTCAGTGGTATTCTCCCAGAATAATTCAAGTGGTATCAGTAAATCCTTCCACTTTCCCTTCCCCATGTCCTAAAACTTTACAGTATTCAGATACCACTATTAGTAATTCAGATCAGATAATCTTAATATTGCAATCTATCAAAATGAGGCTCATGTATCCTCTGAATGATAAAACATTAAATTATTTAGTACATCAAATTAATGGATTTATAATTATCCTAATGGCTTGAACTTGATGTTTAATCCTCCAATCTTGTACCATTGGAACTTGTTCAGTCTAAATTTTTGAGAGCAATTTTCCAAGTTTCTCACTGGGTCTCCAGTGCTTCACTACAAATGGAGGCTGGAATAGTGGGGATGGAGGCTAGAATATGGCAAGCTATATTCTATTTTTTTTTTTTGTCTGTATACACTTTTTCTTAACTAACCTGACACTGTCAGTTTAGTTTTGCTTATTGGATACTTGAATAATAGTTTTCTTGTGCTAGTTAATGACCGCAAAGGAATTAAATGAGTAAGATGTTAGTAGTTAAATAGTCCTCATCCTTTCCAGAAACATAATGCTATATTCCAGTGGTGGCGAACCTATGGCACGGGTGCCAGAAGTGGCACTCAGAGCCCTCTCTGTGGGCACGCACGCTGTCGCCCCAGTCCTAGGCCTTCAGCTGGGTTTTATAAAACCTTTTCGCTTTAGGCCTCCGCCGCCTGTGCAAAAAAAAAAAAAAAGTTCAATCAGTCAATTTCAACTTCTCGCGGGGAAAAAAAAAGATCTTGCAAAGTTGGAATTGATTGATAGAACTTTTTAGTCCCACCCAGTCTGCCGTTACCACCGCAGCCACGCCCACCCAATGGGCCACACCCACCCAGCACTCGACGATGCATAAGTGGGTTTTGGGTTGCAGTTTGGGCACTCGGTCTCTAAAAGGTTCGCCATCACTGCTATATTCAGATGAAAATATTCACTTTTCAACTAATTATGCATTTTTTCACTAAGCCACGGTTTGCTTAATAATGGCTTTTTTGAATGTGTGTAAGTCACAGTTGGCTAAATTGATACTTCCTGGTAAACTTTAAATAAAGGGTTACAAAAATGGCTGGATTCCACAATCTAAACAAGCTGTATTATGAATTTGGTACAGCACACTTGAGGCGGAAAGTGACTAACTTTCACTCTACTAAATTTATACCTTTCATTATATTTTCTTTCGAACCTCCAAAATATTCTTCCTTTACTTACCACTTGTTATTCGTGATATATTGAATCCCTTGTTGTTTTTTCACTTTACGATAAAAGAAAAAAGAAGCAGATCTATCCAAATACTACGACACATGGGAGATCTGTACTTTAAATATTTGCTATTATACTTTCCGGCCACTAGATGGTAGTAAACAGATACTTGAGTGTTTATTTAAACTTACGTGCCATTAGAGCTGAGTGATCACAGAAGCAGTGGAATTTCTTTAGGAAAATAGATTACTTTGTTGTGATTATTATTACAAATACCAATTTTATGAAATTAGTTCCTTTTATTCATATAATTATTACAACATGTATACCCCATCTTGTGCACAGTATGGGTGGCTTGCATGTTTTAAAACATAATAACACAATCATAATCATAAACCAATAGCAATAGCTATTAGACCAGTAATGGCGAACCTTTTAGAGACCGAGTGCCCAAACCACAACCTAAACCCCACTTATTTATTGCAAAGTGCCAGGGCCACATCAGCATTGTGGTGCCCTCGTGGGGGGGGGGCAGAGAGGCGCCTCTGAGTGCCACCTCTGGCACCCAAAAACCAGGGGTGCAAAAATGGCCGCTGCCGCACCATGGGATGCAGATACAAGGCACTGCACCACACAAGAACGGGGCAGGGCTAGTGCGTATCACACAGCAACTAGCCCCGCCCCATTTGCAGTGGGTCCATGCTCACCGCCCCATGCGCGCATGCACGCATGTAAAATGTTTTCCCCTCTTCTTCCAGTCCTGGTTAGTTGTTACCAACCACTGGAGACGAGATGGTGGAGATGAGCTCGAACGATCAGCTGGCGAAGTGGAGGAAACACGACCCGTCGGGGCGGGACGAGGCCCGCCGCCACCGTCGGACTACCTGGACGACGACCGCCGCCACCGCGTGCACGGTTGTCTCTCCCGAGACTCACGGCAGAGACCGTACGCACGGTATCGTTCGCCACCACTGACTTAGACGTATATACCACTTCACAGTGCTTTACAGCCCTCTCTCAGCGGTTTACAGAGTCAGCATATTGCCCCCAGCTCAATAAGCTGACATTAAGAAACATAACATTACATTAAACTACACAGAAATCACCAGCAAAATATTTTAACCCTCAAATGTATGATGAAAAAGAATAATCTTGCCTGCATTCCCAAAAGTAAGAAAGTTGTTAGCCACTCTAACCTGTGATTATTGGTTTAATATTGGTAAAAATAAAGTCTTCATCACCATACTATCTAACAATCATAATGCTTTATGTAAAAAATCCTCTTCACATTTGAATTTTGTTCACTTGCTTCGTGTGTTTGCTTTATGCTATGTATTTCTAGATCCTTAAAAGATTCTGTTGTGCTCCTATTAGTGTATGAGATTCCTTCAGGGTGCTACCTAAGGGAGTTCTATGGACATCTGAACATTGTGTATGATCTTTGTTGGTCAAAGGATAATCAGCATCTTCTTACTGCTTCCTCAGATGGTACTGCAAGGTCAGTATAACCAAACATCTCCTGTTAAAATTGAGGTATGCAGTATAACTGAAATGAAAATGCCCCCAAATTTAAGATAGTTATACACCCATCAGAAGAGGAGATGGGGAAAAAATTAAAACTGCAACAAAATACCAGTTTATCAATCTTAGGTTGCCAAGTTCAGCTAAACCCAAGCCCCCAGTAAATAGTATGTGCTTCAAACCTGAGTATGACCACATGTATCCATCCTCTTATACACATGCTTGCAAAAGGCATTCTCCCAAAGAGATAAGATGAGGACAAACGGTTACATTCATATCAAGTAAATGGATAAAATGATATGCAGAATGTTCCAAGCGTAAACTCTTTTCCGACAGATTCTATAAAGCCCTGTTTTGAACAGAACTCAAAACATACTTTGTCAAAAAAAATCGATGTAGAAATTTCAAAGCCACCCTTAGCTTGCTGAACCTAGAACAAACTTAACATTAAAGACCAGGATTCTTCCTTTTGTTCTTTTTTTTTTTCACATCTCGTACACAGTTATGTGTGCACATACAACCTCAGAGCTGGATGGCTGTAGAAATTGAACAAACTAAATAATAAATAAATAACCATTCCTTGTAGGTTTTATTTTTTTCAAATTTCATATTCAATCTCTTGCTTCGTATCTCTGCCCCCGTTAATAAAAGGTATATTCATTTTTTCTATTTGTTTTTTTTTCCCACAGAACCAGATTTTTTTAAAAAAAATAATGCTAATAATGTTGCTTCAAAACATTCGTTTGTACTAAACAAGCTGAAGTGGTTAAATGATTAAGTCAAAAACATTGCGAGGAAATTTGATTTTATAGAGAAATTAATTGAAGAATGAGTCATTATAGAAATTTGGCTAATGAGTAAACTCTTTTGGGTTATTCAGAAGTTATCCAGGTTATATATTTGTAAGTAGACTCAAAATTTTTACAGATCGTTTTTTAAAATATATTATCACACAGTTTGGTACTGAATTGGTGTATTGCAGTGGTTTTCAACCTGTGATCCGTGGACCCCTGGGGGTCCACGAAGTCACGGGGGTCCACAAAGTCTTGAAGAAATGTTATCATTTAAATCTTGAGTTACGGTAAGTCTTGGGGGTCTGTGGCCATCATTCATAGCCACAAAAGGTATTTAAAGGAGGTCCATGGTGAAGAAAAGGTTGAGAACCACTGGTGTATTGAATTATCTAGTATTAAAAAAAGAGACCAACTTTTCTAAATGTTGCTTCTATTTAGAATGTGGAAAATTGAAGCCCAGGCTACATCAGCCACCAAAATTTTCCCACATCCTTCATTTGTCTATGCTGCAAAATTCCACCCAGTAGCTGAGTACCTCGTTGTAACTGGATGTTATGATTCTGTGATTAGAGTCTGGAATGCAAAAGTAAAGGAAATTAATGGGCAGCTTTTGCAAGAATTTGATGGCCACAAAAGTTTTATCAATACATTGTGTTTTGATGCTGAAGGTAAGTTGCAGATGTTTCACACTAAAAATGCTGCATATAGTACCTATCTCATTTCATCTTTGTAATTACTCTGGATTTTATTATATACTATTGTTATTCTTTTAAGGAGGCTGAGAGTTAGTAATAAATACCAGAATACCTGGGGGCTTCTATTGAAAAAAAACTTCTAATATTTAAAAAAAAGGATTTTTATATGAAAAACTAACAAAATATGATCAAACATAAAGGAAAGATTATGATATCCATCCAAATCTACTAGGTGTCTATGCCATTTTCCAAAACCTGATGAATTATGAGGGCTAAATTGTGTGGGGGATTTGTACAGGAAATATACTATCTTCAAATTCAGGTACCAGATAAGCATTGAATGTACACACTCTGCAGAGTGGGATAAAAATATATATTTTATACAAACACACATCCATCAAAGAAGAAATAATGTAGTTGGACAACACAATTTGTGGGATGAGATGTTGGGGCAATAGAATAAGGTATCTAAGTTAAAGAATTAGCCAAAGTGCACAACACATCTTATGAGATCTGATAAGAGAAAACCCACATATCTGGTAGTACTGTAATAATAACAACAACAACAACAACAACAACAATATAATAATAATAATAATAATAATAATAATAATAATAATAATAATAATAATAATAATAATAATAATAATAATAATAATAATAATAATAATAAAGTTGGAAGGGACCTTGGAGGTCATCAAGTCTAACCCCCTGCTCAGGCAGGAAACCCTATACCATTTCGGACAGACGGCTGTCCAGTCTCTTCTTAAAAACTTCCAGTGTTGGAGCATTCACAACTTCTGGAGGCAGGTTGTTCCACTGGTTAATTGTTCTAACTGTCAGGAAGTTTCTCCTTAGTTCTAGATTGCTTCTCTCCTTGATTAGTTTCCATCCATTGCTTCTTGTCCTGCCTTCAGGACAAGGGGAAACGGTCTAAGACTTTTAGTATATTATAAACTGAATGGGAGCTGGTATTGTCATTTTCAGCAGATAAAATACTTCATGTAACCTTAAGTTGCATTGACAAAAGAATAATGTCCTCCCTGCTATTGGTAATAATTCCATTTTAGGGTGTGGTTGTGTAACATCCAAATGTAGTTTGGGGCCCCACAATTTCTGAAACAAATTAGCAAAATGGAAAAGTAAGTGATGATGAAAGATACTTGACTAGATACACTTTGCATAAGCCATTATGCAGTATAATTATATGAGTAATTTGAATGTCAGAATTCTTTTATCATGTTAAGCAAACAAATTATTGTTTTCTAGGATTTCACATGTTTTCTGGAGATGGCACAGGGTTAATAATTATCTGGAATACTTTTGTTAAAGAAAATTCTCAGTCACCAATTCAACACTGGGGCATTGATAAGGTATACAGAAAAAAAACAGCAAGTTTTAAAGTCTTGTGTACATAATGTATTTTTGATAAGGTTGTGCGATGCATATTTTAAAGTTTCAGAATTAGATTTCTGACTATATTCAACATGATTTGCTTCTATTCATACTAGCTGCTGTATAATATTTAATAAAAATATTTCTGAATAAGTTGATATCATTAATACTCCGCTATACATACATATTCTAGAAGCTTTAGCTGTACTTATTTTTTATCTCATACACATGTCCAATAATTTCTTTTTCTACTCCATGCTTTCTTCATATTAGTAGTATTCAGTTGATAATTGAATTTGCATTTGAGCACTAATAAAAGGGAGTAAACTGTGATGATTTGGGAATAACAAAGTATTTTTAAAAAACCTTGAGTTATTTTAGAAAACTACAGTAAAAGGAGTTATTTGCTGCCCTGATGATAATGATGATGATAACAATCATTCCTGATACCTACATGGGCAACATGTCATTTTCTTAGCAATGTTTTCAAAAATGCTTTGCCATTGTCTTCTTCCTAGGGCTGAGAGAAAATGACTGGCTCGGTTATCTGGCCAACTTCTGTGTCTACAGATGGATTAGGTTTCCCTGCTCATACCCCAACATCTTAACTATTAGACCAAACTGGCTCGTGTATTATAACTGTACCTATTTACAGAAGAACAATGTGTCAGTGACAGAACCTTAAATCCATTTGTAACCACTGATACTTAAGTACTTGACTCCTTCTTTTCATTCATTTTGCTAAGGTGTTTGAAATATTTATTACAACACAAACTATATTCCATCCAGCAATTCAAAATAATTTACACAGATCCCCTTTCCTCTCCTCATTAGACAATAATCATGTTGGTAATTTTGACTGGCCTCAAATTGCCAGCAAGGTTTATGTATTTTTTTGCACAAATTATGTCTGTGGTATCCTCCACTGCAAGATAGCGATGGCCGTTTATTAATTGCCTTTAAATGCTGTCTATCAGTAATTCTGCCAGAGTCTAATTTATGCAGTTTATCTATTACCTCTAAGCTTATGAATTCTAGGCAGTTTACAGATACTAAAATAGGATTGAGAATGCATTTTTTAAAACTTCAGTAGCAACAGTTTAACAATTAATAGACAATAATGAGGTAAACATTATTAATGCCTAATTGTAATCACAGCTCTACTAGTACCTGTATCAGAAGTTGTATAACTCTAAATGCCAATCTCTGTGAAACAGTAGCAGGAGATAATTTTTTCATTCATATCTTGCTCATGGGTGTTTCAAAGGCTTCTAATAAGACAATGGATTCCTTGGCCCCTTGGTCTTGCCTAACAAGACTGACATTCTGTTGTCTTTTTATTCTTTTTTTTAATATATTTTATTAACTTTTTACAATAACAATCTTTAGTGCTTAGTGAACAATGTGTTGTCTGGGTTATCTTTTTTCATTCTGCATAGTATCGCTATTCTATAGAGTCACTGGGAATCAGGCAGCATATATTAATATATTAGGGTTGGTTGCACAGTCAGCCATATGTTTAGACTGATACCAATACAAGAAAATATTTGTAACTCAGGGTTGAACTGTGAGGTCCTTGGTGAGCTCTAAACTTGGTTATTTTATTGCAGATGTTTCATTACTCAATTAGTTAACACTATCAGTGTATTTAGCATTTTTATCCACTCACTGAGTCCTTCCCAAGGACTTGGGATAGGCAGATATTTTGTTTTTATTTGTATTATTATTATTACATTGAAAACATGCTCTCTGTAGTTCTGCGTTTTATATTGGGTTGTTTTGACAGGAAATAAATGATGGTGACATTAAAGGAACAGCAATAAATTATTTGGAGGTACACCCAAATGGAAGGCGTTTACTTATCCACACTAAGGACAGTACTGTAAGAATTATGGATCTTCGAATGTAAGTGTTTCAATGTTTTCTGTTTTATACCATTTAAACACTACTACCGGACAGTTTGAGGCATTTCTAAAAATTGGCATCTCATTTCTTCTAGGTATCTTAACATATCCTGGCCTTAACTCTCTTAAAGGCATAAAGTATCCAATTAAATGAGCTTTTTTTAATCTGCCCTGCCCCACCCACCACCCACCTATGATATAGTGGGAAGGCTCAGTAGCTTCATTGAATTTGAGTGTATTGCTGGCAAGGATGTGAACTGAAAGTATCATCCCTAGAAGCCAAAAGAGGAGGGTGAGAAAGTGCTAAGGATCGTAATGGGGCTTAACACGACTGAGGAAAGGCAACCTGCATAGGAGAAGGAACACCAAATTGCAATCTGGAAGAGGGAACGGCAAATTTATTCCATATTTTCAAGAAAGATACTTAGAGATGGCTAAATGTTTGGACAAATTTGGGTGCCAAATAATAAGATGCCATGAGTTTGTACAGATTTATAAAGTGAGTTAAATTGTAGGCGGTTCTAAGTACAACATTAAAGATAGCTGTAGTGCTAATAATGAATGGTTGGAATTCAAAATTAGAAAAACAGGAACATGGAATCATAGGAGCATTGGATTAGGTAAATACAATAATAAGAGAGTCAAGTTTTCCAAAAATAATTCTTTATTTATTGCCAACAGCTGCTTCAGGCAATGTAAAGATGGATTTTTCACATTTAAACTTGAAATAAGAAATACATATCTGCTGATTTTTTCCCCTCTAAAACATTAATACTGGTATCAGGATTTGTAGCATATACACAAAGCACCAATGTCCACTCTCACTTTTGCTATTTGTAATTGCTCTGAAAGGCTTTGACAGCAAGATCCAAAAAATAAACAGATAAAACTTCAAACTTCAAGGAGAATGGAAAAAGAAATATTTTGCAGATAAAGTAGTAGTAAGAATTATGCAGTCGCAAAGCTCCATACGGCAGTTGATGAAAGTAACTGAAGATTTCGGTTGCTTTTCCAAATACAGAATCAATGAAAACAAAGATAATAGCAAGGGACTTCTGAGGAAGAAAAAATTATGGGGGAAAAAAAAGCCTGGATTTGTGGCATATGGAGATAACATAAGATAACAAAAAAAACCCAGGATTTGTGGCATATGGAGCCCATCCTTACAAAACATCTCCAGTTCACATCTAAAGGAATTTATAAACGTTCTGTTAGAATTAATAGTGCTTTATGGTCTATAGTGAATAGATTTTCTCACCCATTTAATAATTTACTAGACAATTCCAATGTTATTGGATCTTTTATCCAGGTCTATATGTAGGATTTAAAAGATCTGGTAGGCATATCTTTCCAGATCCAATTAGACACCTCTCTGTAGTCAACATTACTGGGATGATTTTGAAACTGGAGCACTAAAGCACTTAGTGTGATACAGAGATTTTATTATTTTAAAATAACAGAAGAATAGACCTTGCAATTTCCCTATAAAAGTTAGGAGTGCAATAGAGAGAGTAGAATTGCTGGATATTTTGCTAATCAATTTTTGAAATCAATTTTTTTCTGCTTTTAATGTCCTCCTGATTCTGCAGGAATCTAGAAGGCTATGTCTAGTTTTCAGACACAATTGTCTTAGTAACAATTCATATTTGTTTTTTGCGCATGAGTCTGAATTTACTAATCTGAGACTTAATTTATCCAAAATACCATGGGTTGTCATGGTTCCGATCAATGAGACCAAATAAATCAAAACTCCGAGGTAGGAAAATTCCTCAAAGAACATGTTTATTGGATACATAATATCGGCATGGTCAAAAATGAAACCAGATATAAAGTCCCCCCTCAAAGAATCAAAGTAATACAATGTAACAATTCCCACTTCTCTACTCAGGTTGTCCAATAATACAACTTGGCGGACTTTTTGACCAAACGATTCTCCTCCCCTTTGGTATGGGAACAACCTTGGTTCCCACAAGATTTGCTCATGTTTAGACTACCACAAATACCTTTCCCCCCCTTCTTGTGGTAACCTAGAATGACAAAAATGGCTGCAGCCAAGTTCGCTGGGGTTATCTATAATACCCTGAACCGCTCCTGGTTTTGCTTTTTAAAATTTACTTCTTAAAACTGCCAAACAGACCCTGGAATAGCATAATCTGGAAGGGGAACAGAACATTGTAACAAAAGCTTGGAATTACTTAATTGTCCACATCCCCAGCCTTTCAGGATCTTTTTAGAAGATTGGACAAACAGAATTGCATATCAAAGATGGTCCTGAGCTGTAGATGATCATGATACATATGGTTGGCTTCATCAAAGGGGGTTAAAGAGAGGCACTAGCTTTATGTTCCTCAGGATGTCATCCTCCCATTTTCTATACAAATGAAGTTCAACTTGTGTTGCATATTCATTCTAGGATATGCCAGATGCAGGATTCTTTTGCTACATAAATGTGTTTATAGGATGTCATTGAGTTGACTACTTCATCTGTGTAGGTCCTGTTCCTTTCCATCTGTTCTAAGGTTTTCTTGAAGCTAAGTTGGTAGAGTCACCTTAAATCTAGAAGGCTCCTATTTCTTTGATGTTCTCATCTAGATGGAGTCTTATGCAGGTAGGCGTTGACTTAAGACCACATTTGGGACCAGAATTTCTGTTGCTAAATAAGGTGGTTCTTAAATGAGTCACCTCTGATTTTACAATCTTTACGACTTTTTTTGCCATGATTGTTAAGTGTATCACTGCAGTCATTAAGCAAATTAAGTGAATCCATCTTCCTCCGTTGACTTTACTTGATGGAGGCTGGTTGGGAAGGTTGCAAATGGTGATCCCATGACCCTATGATCCCAGGATGCAGCAACTGTCCTACATTAGTGCCAGTTGCCAAGTGCCCAAATTTTGATCACATGATTGTAAGGATGCTGTGAATACTTAACAAGTGCGAGGATCAAGTTGTAAGTCACTTTCTTCAGTCGTTGTGTAACTTCAAACAGTCGCTAAACGGATGGTTGTAAGTTGAGGGCTCCGTGAAAGTAAGGGTAGGTCATTCCACAAATCAAGAAGTGGCATACAGTGATTAAAAGAGTAGCTATATTCATGTTATCTCTCTCTTATTCTTTAGCTTAGCTACAAAGAAATATATTGGTGCTACCAACTATCGAGAAAAAATTCATAGCACCTTAACGCCATGTGGAACATTCCTTTTTTCTGGAAGTGAAGATGGCGCGGCATATGTTTGGAATTTAGAAACAGGTACCTTTTGCTCTTTATTTTGAAAGCTTAGAAATGTGAAACGTTTGTTTGTAGGTAACTTATGTTTTTAAAGGAGCTTCTAAATAACTCTGGTTGAAAATTAAAAACTTTAAAACCATTTTTCCTGGGAGTTTTGTATATGCTAAGCGATGCTTCCCCGTTGCTCTCTATCTATATTTTAAATTTATATAGTTTTCTCTTTACGTCAAAAGAAGGGGATCATCAGAATTAAGGTTATGATTCAGTAGGCAGGCAAAAATGCCAAATCCAGTCTGAATATCTGTTGACTGTGTGACAAACCATAATAGTAATAATAACAATAACAACAACAACAACTTATTATCTAATAATTAAAGTATTATTCACAGCTATTTATAATTTATTTATTCACTATGCATTACATCCCCAAAGTGATACTGATAAATTATACCTGCCCTGCAGGATACTGGTTTACAATTCTTAACTTGAAAGCATCCTTTCATTTTCAGGTTCAGTTGGCTTGGGCTCCCCCAAACTTCTTGTACTGAAAAAAAAAAAAAAACCTAATGCATGTGAATAAAGTACTCGCTCACCTACTTTTTTTCCCCCCTTTTGCAGGTGATCAGGTAGCTATGTATCCTGATCTTTCTTTCACTTCCCCACTTCGTGATGTTGCTTTCCACCCACTTGAACATATGGTGGCATTTTGTGCCTTTGGTCAAAACCAGCCAATCCTTGTGTACATTTATGATTACAAAGGTAATTGAATACGTTTATGCATTTGTGTGTGTATTCAAGTCACACCTTAGTTATGAAAGTTTGAAGTGGCCTTTCTTGCTGCAGGTATAAGTAGTCCTCGACTTAACAACCATTCATTTAGTGACCGTTCAAAGTTACAATAGCACTGGGGAAAGTGATTATGACCAGTCCTTGCCAGTGCTTTTTTTCTAAAAAAAAAAAAAAGGTGCCAGAACTCACACATGTCATACGACCCGCCTTGCCTACCCTACAAGGTTCCATCCAAAAAAGGTGCCGGAACTCCATTCTGGCTGTTCTATGAGAAAAAAAGCCCTGGTCCTTGCACTTACGACCATTGTACCATCCCCATGGTTACGTGATCAAAATTGGGGCGCCTGGCAACCTGCGTGTATTTTTGACAGTCACGGTGTCCCAGGGACACGGGACTGCCATTTGCGACCCTTCCCAGCCGGCTTCCGACAAGCAAACTCGGGTGAGGAAGCTGGATTCATTTAATGGTGGTGTGATTCACTTAACAACTGCAATAATTCACTTAACAACCATGGCGAAAAAAAAGTAGTAAAATCGAGGGTGACTCGCTTAAGAACCACCTTACTTAGCGTCAGACGTTTTGGTTCCAGTTTGGATCGTAAGTGGGGGGGTTACCTGTCAGAGATGGTAATTGAACTCTCAGCAAGAAAGTTTAGATAAAAAGCTTTTGAGGTTCTTTGACTGCCTCAGTAGAAATACCTAATCTGTTCACATTGAAGTGAGAGTGACTTTTATCTTTTTCTGCTTTATAGCCTTAACTGCTTACATCAGGGGTAGTCAACCTTGGCTCTTTTATGACTCGTGGACTTCAACTCCCAGAATTCCTGAGTCAGCTTAGCTAAGCTGGCTCAGGAATTCTGGGAGTTGAAGTCCACGAGTCATAAAAGAGCCAAGGTTGACTACCCCTGGCTTACATCCTTAATTCGAATGATAGCTGGGATTCAGCACTCTTTCATAAAAAGGGTAATATTGTTCAAACGTTTTGTTTTGACTTTTTCCTCCGAAGTTGCCAAGCAGGGGATTGAGACAGCAAAGGAACTGAATGGATTACAACTAACCAAGTCCCCCAGAAGCCCACAGACTCTCAGCATGCCTGCCAGGGCTCCTGCACAGAAGAATTTGATGATGTCAGCTGACCAGTTTGCAACTGTTGCAAGAACATCAATGAGGATGCAAAGAGTCAAACAAAAGCTGGACTCCGTTATGGTAAAGTTCATTTAAAAATTCCACTACAACTTCAGTGACCGTTTGAAGCTACAGTGGTGCTGAATGAATGGTACTTAACAATCTGTCCTTGAAGATCCAACTGTCACAGCACGCCTGTGGGTCTTGTGATTGTTATCTGGGCATTTGGCAACCGGCTCATAATTTCATGGTCACATGATCACTATTTGCCACTTTCCTGCTGGCTTCTCACAAGCCAGCATGTATCTCAGGTAAGTCTTTCCCACCCAGCAATAGCCACCCCAAGCCCTCATGCCAATTCTACATTTCTCTCTCCCCCTTCCCATATGCATGGCAGCAGCCATTTGCCTACCTCATGATGATGTTATGCTTCTGAATCTTATGAGTAGTTGATAAAGATCAGGATTGTCAGGATCATGCTACATATGTGTGGGCTTGCCATAAGAGAGCTTGTAGACTATTGTAGAACCACAGGATGTTGGATCTCAAATTCTCAAACTCTTCTTAAGGTAATTGTCCCACTGGGTGGCACTAGGAATAAGGGCATTTTCTTAACTTGGTGACTTAGATTGATTTTAAGGAATACGGCATAATTCTAATGATCATGAACAACAGTAAACTGTAAAATAAACTGATATCTAAAGTATTGCCCTTTAAATAGTTATTGCACTGTGGAAAACAGCAACTCACTCTTCTAAATTGGTCCTGAGCTATATTTGAATAATTTGTATCTGAATTTCTTCTGTAGACTTCCAAGTCCTACGATTTAATTACCAACTTAACGTAGTAAAACATTTAATAATACTTGGTTCGCTGTTTTATCAAACGTAGCAGCCCTATGTCATGAGCCAGGCATCCAGTGGTTATTATTTGGAAAATTGGGTGCATGTTTTAGACACACTTACAAAATGGCCATCTCAGTTTTGTCAGCCAATCACAAAACGTTTATGTATCAAAAAATGCAAACGAAACCCTGCATCTAAAATGCCCATCCTTTTATTTTCTGTGGGATTTAGAGATATTGCTGGAAATGCAGATTTTATACAAGGCTGCTTTTTTTGCCTTGGATCTTGTTAGTTTTTTCCTTTATGTAATGTTGCACATACATCCTTCTACTGTCAGGTCCCGTCATCTCTCACGATCTTTAGGGCACATTTGTGTAGATTCTAGATGGATTATTTTTTGCTTTTTATTATTTTGCTACATAAAATTGTAAATACACTTGACGCATCAAATTTTGTTGCTGATGTTGCATTATTATGTTATTTTTTTCCCCTTTATAAATTACGTTATGCTTCTTGAAGTTTGAATCAGCCCTCTTTGCAACCTATATAGAATAAGACATACAATTATCCTTAATTATTTCCCAGTAAATTAATTGCCTATTTGGAACTATTTGGTATAATGTAAACAGATTATGGTTATATAGATTTACTGCCATCTCTGCAGAAGATTCTAAGGGTTCAAGTTTGAAAATGAATTCATTTTATGTAGTTGTGTCAGATGTTAGACCTTCAGATATGGCTCCCAGCATCCCCAGCCCATTTCATGTGATAAGTGGTAGTTCAGAAATTTCAGGGAGGTTGGGAATATGAGAGAGAAAAATATAGCTTTGGAGTATTTTTTCCATTTTAACAGTCAACTCCACTCTCAAGGCAGAAAGCATATAGTAATGTGCAAAATTAATAAAGTCACAGTAAAGAGGTTAACACAAAAAAAAACCCTTATTCACCACTTGGCTGATTGCATTAATGTGGTGCTGTGGTGACAGCAGGTGTACTTGGTTCCTTCCACAGCCTTCAGGAAAAAAAAAACCTATTTGAGGTCAATTGCTGCAAGAAGGCAATATTCTAGAGAACTTGCATTGTGCAAACGGAGGGAGGGCTGCATGAAGCTATGGTAGGCATTTCCTGCCTTTACGCCAAGGGGGGAAATGGAGCTCTTGAGAAATCTCTCCAGGTGTGCCTTGACAAATTGGCCAAGCATGATGGTGACTACAGTTGCACTGCTTCATGCCCCATTTATATAGAAGAAAACAAGCTCTCGTAGCAACCAACTGTTCCCAAATTCAGAAAGCAAGCTGGCAAATTCGGCTGGGGTCTCTGGTGGCTTTCCCCTGGTAGAAATGGTGCGTAGTTTTTCTCCCGGAGATAAATGTAAAATGTTCTCAAGGTGCAATAGAAAAAATGTTTCAAATCCTATTTCTCAGCGGAATGTTTTCTTGAACCATTTGGCTTGGCCTTTTTTCTCATTATACTGTGGGGAATAAGCGATATAAGATAATAGCAAGTGATAAGTCTGTACATAGGGTCAAAGTACAGGTTTGCCTGGATAATATTGCAAGGCTCTGCTTTTCTACCTGAGGGAGGGTTGCATGTAAAACCACTCCAAGTGCTAAACAAAAGAGACTGCAGACTTACTTAGAGCTAATCATTGCCTGCTGCACACTGTGACAAAACTGTAATTTAAAGGATTAACTTTATTTACAAAGGCACAAAACTCCAGAAAGGACAAATTACGGGGCTGACTTTCCCAGCCTAATTTGACTTGCAACCATGTATGAAAAATTTTTTATTCTTCTAATTGTAAAGGTCACAGCCCTGTATTATCAGGGGGAAAAAATCAGCAAAATTGTTCTTAGCTTGTTGAAACCTGAATTTACCTCGATTCTCTTTTATTTTTGGGTGGCGCACGCTTTTTTTTTTTTTTAACATGAAAATTAGGCTCACTGAAAAGGGATATTTGCATAATTCCCATAGATTATAAAGCAAATGCAAAACAGCTCTGTTTAAACTTGGCAGGAGTGTGTAGGCTTTTCGATCTCTTTAAACACATACACAATACTTTTTGTACTTGTATTTTTACTCCACCCGGGCCTTGTAATATACTATCCATCATAAAACTGTGGTTTTTATGTTAAGCAAGCAAAATGTTGTGAAAAGAATTAGTTGATTGGTGTTAGTTATCTTAGCCAACCTTTTCTTGTTGTTGAAAAGGTGTTTAGCAATTTCTTCCCACAGCCTACATTTCAGAAATTATTGCTTCACAATAATTGTTCCATAGGTCCTATTATATGCTGGCATGTTAACTTAAAACATAGGAAAGTAGAGGTCTGTCTACCTTTACAGACAGCATTGGAAGACTGATCTCAAATTACATCTCACCCTTGAACACTCTCTATATATTTACTTTATATACCTATCTGATATTGAACATTATTTAATAACAGCCTGACTCCTGAGGGTGCAGGGTTCGTGCAAGCCACTTCTACTGCTCATGAACAGGCGGGGGGGGGTGTGTGAGGGGTTTTGCTATTTTTCTTCTCACTTGTCTACAACTCTCTTGCATGTTCACAGAAATCACATTTTCAGGAATGTTCTTTAAATAAACTACAGATTAAGGCTAATCAGACGTATTCATTCCATATGAAAACTACTCCTGTGTTGATAGAATATTTATATGAAAGGGAATGGTGCAGTCATAAACACTAGGGTAGATTTAGAGCTTATTGTGAAAAAAGAAGCAGGCTGATTAAGGCAGTTTGGATTTGCTCCTGTGGGGCTCCAGGAATGGCTAAACAAATTAAATAATTCCAACCATTCATTAACTTGGAATTGTGTGCCGTGCAAAATCACTTCTAGCAAGCGTTTGAAATCCAGATATGGTTTTGACTTCCACTGCCCCAATTAGCATGTAGCTCTAAACAAAGCACCTTTTAAAATGAGTGTAGTCTGCTTAATGGTGTTTGATGGCAGGAGAGGGTAAGTGTAAGGGATGGGGTAGAAGCTAGAGTGTGCACCAGTGAATCTAATGCATTTCATTTGGATTGTGAAGGGAAGGCTTTAAAAGAATACGATGCCGCGTGAGCGTGCAAAAGAATCCTATTAAATGAAGCAGAGGTTTGCCAGCTTTTCATGCATCAATGAGACTGTTATTGCATATTTTAAGAAACTGGTTTTAATATTTTTAATGCTATGGGTAATCCTCATTTAGCGGCTGCCTTGCACTGCGGCCGCTTGCAGTGACAATGGCGATGAAAAAAGTCACTCTGCAACCACTTCCTTGCATTTACGACCTTTGCAGGCCTGTAAACTGAAGTAAAATCATGATGTTTCAGCAACTGCTTTGCTTAATGACTGAGTTGCCTGTTCCGGTTGTGGTCACTAAACGAGGACTTACCTGTACCTGATAAAAGAATTGCATGTTTCTTCTAACCATTCTTTTATCTAATAATAGCAGCACTGATTTCCTTTTTTTGCTAGCACTCATATGATTTAATTGTTTACATAATCCTCAAAATGAACTACTTTCCCCTGCAGTGGGGGCAACGCACGTGGGCCAAGATTAGAAAGTAGTACTTTGCCTGAGGCTGCAAAACAGCCTGAGGTTTGGAATGGGGGGTACAGCTGGTTTATAGCTTAGCATCGAAAAGTTAGCGTGCAAATAAAGAGTTCTCAACAATAGATTTGCTTTATCATACCAGTGCAGGGGAGATCAGTATTAAAGAAGCAGAGGCTAATTCCTTCATGATATATCCTTGCTGCTTCTTCCACCACCACCACCCCCTTCTTTGAATCAGTTTTACCTTTTTTTTTACAATCAGGCTTTCCAATTCGGGAAATAACTCAGACAGGGAGCAGCAGTAGGCTTAAGTACAGACAGTCTCTCCATCTTTCAGTTCTGCCTTCAGAGCTCATTCTCTTGCATTTTTTTACCTTGTATTTAACATGCCCTTTTATTTCATTTATTTATTTATTGCTCTATAGCTAGTTCTCAGTGGGAAAAGATTTATCAATGTGCTGACATAAGAGAAAAAAACAAAAAATATTTCTTGCTGAAGTCCTGTATGGCTAAAACCTGTAGGGTGGTGTTTTGGTTTTTTTTAAGTGCCGTGCCCTTGTTAGGAAAATTTAAAAAAAAATACCCAAGACTATTAAACCACTTAGTTGGAATAGTTGTCACAGGTCAGGAAAGAAGCAGATCAAGAGATTTTGGGATACTTTCAATTAATAGTTTTAATTCAGAGAAATCTGATGAAATAAGCCCAAAGGGAGAGAGGGGTTCCAGTTCAAACCTGCTTTGATATGTTGAGTAATAAATTATGAAAGCTGGCCAAATAAGCCTTGGAGATTTAACTGCTGGCGACAATTCACTTTAAGTTTTGGAGGTTATCTTTAGATCTGATTTTCTGTTCAGAGTGCATTCATATCCATTTTCATAGAGCCTAGGTAAAAGAACTGATCTGTCAAAAGCTAATCATTCAAAATATATCCTAAATTTTAGTTGCCCCATTAAAATATCTTAACTTTTTTTCCTACATTCCATGTATTTATTCTATCTGTATTTTAATCATCTCTTCTAGCCACATGTGAATCTTAAACCAGAACTTCTTAGCATTAGGACATATCCACCAGAGATGGTAATAAGTGCCTGGTTGTTGTTTACATTTCCAACACATATTTGATACATTTTTAAACATTTTCTCTAATCTAACTGGTGTCATGTGCCATCTATAAAACATTTTATATAAGTTTTCCTTATATGCAGCTGCTTTAGTAAGTTTAATATTTCGGTCCCATTAATAAAATTAGAAAAAATAAATTCCATGTATTTATTTATATTACATAGTTTATATATTGGTTCGATATGTTAAGCTTTGTCCCTGTTAATGATTATGTAATTGATTGAAATGAAACTAAAATGCTGAAAGTACGTTATGTGTATCTAAAGCCTTGTTGTAAAAAACAAACAGAAACAACAGGAGAAAACATGAAATAATTTATGACATTTTGTACACCATCTGCTACCTAAGAATTTTTCTGATGAATAAGAAATATTCCAATTACAATATTACAGTTCCCTTCTATGCCCTAAAAATAATTATTTTCCCAACTCCTAATTATTACCAACAATATTTACAACTGTGTTACTAAACAAATACCTTCATCCTTCTCTGTTTCTAAATAATTTTTTAACAGCCTTTTGAAAACAATTTGCTTTCTCAGCCCTTAACTCATACCTTGGATTCATAGATGCGCTAAATGTATGGGAAAGAGGATTGAAAAAACGGCTTCCAAATATTTTGTTTAAAATTGGACTTGAAGTAGAATCACAAAGAGTTACGAACTTCCCATACATAAATTGGATGGTGGTGTCTGCATCTCTGTTTTAAGATGGAGCCTTTTATACATTTGTTCATTGTGAAAGCATTAGGCAGTATGCCCCAAAGCTATTCTGAAAGAAGTTACTTAGAAATCAATCATTTTTAAATAAATATATTTTGATAGAGTAGGGAGATTGCATTCTTTAACTCTAACGTTAGGGACTGGTAAACTCCATGAATTCTGCACAGTTTGTGAATTTTGAGTTATTATAGTAGCCTCTCTATATTCCTGCTACAGCTTCCTGCAGAGAGATCATGGCTTTGAATTTCTTAATTTTTTTCCTCTGATATCTCTTGAAGGACTTGGGCGTGACAATCATAATTGTTAAGACTGAGGGAGTAAAAAAAGTAAAATTGTCAAGCTTTGTCAGATAAACAGTACAATTTATGTAATAATCCAGAGGGTTTTTTCAAACTTTGAGAAACAGAAAATGGCATATACCTTGTAGGTTTGGAGACCACAATGTTGACGCAATAATTAAAAAGAATGCCAAAAGGAAGTATTAATGCATCCTTTTAGAAAAAAATGGAGGCAGTTATATTTCATAATTTATTGGTATTTCAACTATTTTTTTAACCTATCTTTCTTTTCAAACTGTTTTTAGTTCTTCAAAATTGAATTGTTTTTATACTAATACAGCAATTACTTTCACAATTGGCAAGGCTTTGCAGTTTAGCTCTTGTGTCTCAATTTTTCTTTTGCAGGCCAGTTCCAGTCCAATGCTTCCCAGCCAATCTCTGCTATCACCACACCCCAGATTAAGACTAACAAACAATCTAGGTGTATCAGTGATTCCACCTTATCCTCTTCCTACTAAACATGGTAATGTATTTTCTGTGGTTATTAATGTACTTTGGAGGAGTTCTGTGATCATATAAAATGATCTTCCTTGCTCAATGACAGATATTTTTGTGAATAATCAACATGCCTATATTTACTCAATGCATTTAGAGCTAACACTAATACACAGAGATGAACGACAGACAACTGGAATCAAACTTGAGTAGTGGTTGTTCAAAACATAAGAAAAATTAAGCAAAGCAAATTTTGTCTAACCCATATTACCATATAGTAAGCGCTTTGATCATCCATGTACCATAGATTTTAACCCAGGTTCAAACTCTGGAAGGAAAATATATTCTGACTGATGCTACCTATAATGTAGGCAATTTTGTTTTTTTAATTCCTTGTTAACAGAGAACTGTGGAGGTCGTAGCAGGACCAAATTGGTAGTTTTAAAAAGTACCATATTAATGAATTGCTAGAATGCAGGAGGGGGGATAATCTAAACTTCTCAAGACCTCTTCCAGCGATCATGTTATGGCACTAATGCTATAATGTTCAACAAGTAGGATCACTGTAGTGAGCTAAAAGGCATGTCATATTTCACTGATTTTGTGGGGCCCTTCATCGAAAGAGGTTTTGATCAGCATTAATCTTCTCGGAATGCCCCTGTTTGTTATACAGATAGGTTAATGGCTACTCATTCAGGGACTGTTTGATATTATGGCGGCACTGCGTGAGTAATACTTATGGCTGGTCCTTGAAGTTCCGACCTTCCCAGCCACCCCACTGTGGTCATGTGATCACAATCTGGGTGCTTGGCAACCAGCTCACACTGTTGCAGTGTTCCAGTTGGTCAGGTGGACGGTCATTTGCACCCTTCCCTGCCAGCTTTCCACCAGCAAAGTGTAAGTCGCTTTTTCAGCACCCTCGTAATTTTGAACAGTGGCTAAATGAATGGCGGTTAAACAAGGAAAACCTGTAACCTGCCCTATAGATCTACAGCACTACAGCTCCCATCTCCACCCTCGCTCTGTGGAACTCACTTGGAAGGTGTCAACTTGGAGGAAGCTGCACTAAGCAAAAGCTTACTCTTTTGGCCCCATCTTTGCATTCTCCCTGCCTTCTTGGTGTATGTGTGTGTGTGTGTGTTGGTCTATCTATCTCTACCTACCTACCTACCTACCTACCTACCTACCTATCTATCTATCTATCTATCTATCTATCTATCTATCTATCTATCTATCTATCTATCTATCTATCTATCTATCTATTTTACACAGAGACCCACCCATACCTTTCCCAGGCAGTTTTGGTTGGTATGTTGTGGCATTATTTATTTCTTTGAGTTTTTTATCCTGTCTTCATTACTTAATAAGTAACTCAAGACAGTAAACATACATAATACTTCTTCCTTCTCCTATTATCCTCAAAACAACAACCCTGTAGGGTGGGGTGGGGTGGGAGAGAGTGACTAGTAACCCAGCTGACTTTTATGCCTAAAGTGGAATTAGAACTCACAGTCTCTGGATTTATAGCGCACCAAGGAAAGAAAGGCAAATCAAATAAAATCGCTAAAATAAAATTTTAGAAACAAAACCTGTACCTAAAATCACCATAAAAGCCAGATCCAAACAAGTATGCCCAGGGTTGAAAATAAAATCAGGTCTCCACAGCTCTCTGGATCTTGACTGATTAATTATGTGCCATTGTAGATTTTACAAGCGCAGTGTGTTAATAATTTCTAATTCTTCCTAGTATATAAATTATACCATCTGTTTCAGATATTATTGAAAGAACTTCAGTTTGCAGTGGTGACAAACTGGGCGTTTTATTGACCAGATTAATATCAGTTCTTTTAAAAAAAACAAAACACATTATTTTAGACAACGTGAAGCAAAAAATGTAAACAATTATCTCGGTGCCATTGGAATTCTAGAATAACCAATGTAAAATATTAGGAAAAGGAACAGTATTGTTTCATCAAAGTTCCCATGAGAACATTCATAACATTTAGGTGACAATGGAACGTCTGTTTATCTCTTCTGGGTTCATTGCTATGATCCCTCTGCTATAAGAATATTGTTTTTAGAGAGACGTGGGAAAAGATTTTGTATATCTGTCACCATTGGCTGTGGTAAAATTGTGACAACCTAAGTTTTTCTCTAAGATAGTTTTCTTCAGTCTTGTGCCTCCACATGGCCAAAGAGGGATTTGGGAAGCTATAACCCATCAGAAGGGAATCAAAATTGAGGAAGTTGTTTTCTTCCATTCCAAAAATAAGTAGCAGATATATACCGTGTTTCCCTGAAAATAAGACCTGGTCTTATATTTTTTTTGCCTCTAAAAGAGGCAACAGGTCTTATTTTCGGGGGATATCCTACCCACTTACCTTAGGACCGCAGCAGCCAATGCCTCCTATGCCCTAACACCTGTTGCACTGCTACTTGAGTTCTTCTGCGGCCACTTGTGGCCGCACACCACATGGCGCATCACGCCAGTGCTGCTGATCATGAAGAGAGGATGTGTGGCTCATCGCGGCACTGGTGTGCCGAGCTACACAGCATCCTGCCGCGATCAGCAGCATCAGCACAACAAGCCACGTCTCCTGCCACGAGTGGTGGCACCGGTACACTTGGTGGGTGTGGTAAGTGGGTGTGGGGCATATTATTTTTGGGGTAGGGCTTATGTTAGGCGCACACATGAAAATCAAGCTGTTTCAGGATAGGTCTTATTTTTGGGGAAACAACGGGTATTTGGTTTTCTTCCATTACTTTGTAAATTTTGTATACTTTGTAAACCATGTACAAAGTGTATTGCAGGTGACAAGTAACCAGAATCTACATATTAGTGCCATTTGCTTCTTAAAAATTACATTACAATATAACTTTTCCAGCAACTAATAATAATAATAATAATAATAATAATAATAATAATTAATAATAAAGTTGGAAGGGACCTTGGAGGTCATCTAGTCCAACCCCCTGCTCAGGCAGGAACCCTACACCATTTCAGACAAATGGCTGTCCAGTTTCTTCTTAAAAACTTCCAGTGTTGGAGCATTCACCGCTTCTGGAGGCAGGTTGTTCCATTGTTTAATTGTTCTAACTGTCAGGAAGTTTCTCCTTAGTTCTAAGTTGCTTCTCTCCTTGATCAGTTTCCACCCGTTGCTTCTCGTCCTGCCTTCAGGCGCCTTGGGGAATAGCTTGACTCCCTCTTCTTTGTGGCAGCCCCTGAGATATTGGAACACTACTATCATGTCCCCCCTCGTCCTTCTCTTCATTAAACTAGACATACCCAATTCCAGCAACCGTTCCTTATATGTTTTAGCCTCCAGTCCCCTAATCATCTTTGTTGCTCTTCTCTGTACTCTTTCTAGAGTCTCAGCATCTTTTTTACATTGTGGTGACCAAAACTGGATGCAGTATTCCAAGTGTGGCCTTACTAAGGCNTAGAACCTTACTTTTTTCACCATTGAATTTCATTTTGTTAGATAGCGCCCAGTGTTCAAGTCTGTCCAGGTCCTCCTGTATCTTAAGCCTGTCTTCTGGAGTGTTGGCTATTCCTGCCAGCTTGGTGTCATCTGCAAATTTGATGAGTTCCCCATCTATCCCCTCGTCCAAATCATTGATGAAGATGTTGAAGAGCACTAGAACAGAGCCCTGGGGCACCCCACTACACACTTCCCTCCATGTAGATGCAGTTCCATTGAGGACCACACGCTGAGTACGGCCGGTCAGCCAGCTACGAATCCATCTGCTGTCTAACCCACATTTTTCTATCTTATCAAGTAGTAGGTTGTGATCTACTTTATCAAATGCCTTACTGAAGTCCAAGTAAATTATATCCACAGCATTCCTCTGATCCACTAATTTTGTCACTTGGTCAAAGAATGTAATAAGGTTTGTCTGGCATGATCTGTTTCTGACAAACCCATAATAAAGGACTGTATGTCTCTAACAGCCTACCAACGTGTGAGCATTTGTTGCTGTAGTGCCAAACTTTGACATTAGCTGAGTGTGATGAAATATAATATTTAATAAAATCTAGAGAACAATTTGCTCCGCATTTTTGCATTGGTTATTTGGTGGAGCTTGGTAAAATGTTACATACCTAATCACTTTGTGGTTTACAAGAGTAGACTAGTTCATCTGAGTCCCAAAAAATTGCCCTCAAAATTAGTCCACAATTACAGCATTAAACCCACTCTTAGGGCACAATAGCCTAATTGTAGTTAAAAAGCAGAGGGGAGAGTCAGTGCCTACTTGGTCCTTTTCTTGTAGTTCCTGGAACCTCGGAGATAACATTGCTAAATAATGGGGAAATGATTTTCTCTTTGGTTTTTAACCAATTAATAATAGTTAAATATTTTCAGAAATCTGCCATGAATCCAAAAAGAAAAGGCTCAAGAACTGCAATAAAGCACATCATAGTGTCAGAGTCAGGTCACTGCCATTATTGACTGAGAAAATATTTTTAAACTGTCACAATACCATTTTAAAAATATAGAGGGAGGGGGATGAATTGTTAGGAAATATGGAATATAAATAAATAAGTGTTGCATATAAGGGTAAACAACATATGTACATGTGTGTGTGTGTGTGTATATATATATGTGTGTGTGTGTGTGTGTGTGTGTGTTCAGTGTATGTATATATATATATACACACACACATACACATATAAGCAAAGCCTATCATTGTCTTCAATTCTTTATGTGCACCATTCTTCTAGAATCTGACAGCCATCTGGTTTTTTTTAAAGTAGTTAAATAATATATCTAATGTAGTCTTATCCTTGTTAGCCATTATGAAAAATATCTTGATTAGGTTATAGTGGTATATGTTCATGAATAAGTACGCATGTTGTGCTATGCAGAGGATTTGGGAGAAGGAGAGAAAAGATTAACTGAAGAAAAATGTTCTGTGTGAAGCCTTGCCTAAGAAAAAGTGTGTTTTTTTCCTCTAGCTATTGATTGCACCTGTGTATTTTATAAGAATTCCTCAAAATTTATGGGATACTTCAGAACTGGAGAAAAA